CTCCGCGTACCTCGCAACTGTGATTTCCTGTTCCGTGAACTCGCGATTCATGATCACGCGCATGTTCATCTGCTCGTCGTTCTCCTCCTCGTTCGGCTTCAGCTCCTCCACGACCTGAGTGGGCATCTCCACGTCCTCCTTCCTGGCTTGCTCAGCGCTGCCAGTCTCTTGAGCTTCCAGGTCTGCTTCGCGCTTCTCTCCACCGCCGGCGGCGTGCTTGCCGTTGAACCTAACCCTCGGAGTTGCTGGTGCCGACGAACTGGATGCTGTTGCCGATGGCTGAATGCGGTTCTGAGCCTCCTCTACGGCTCTTGATCAGGGTGACTGTGGCCTTGGACGTTTGCCTCCTCCGCCGTCTTCTCGATCATCTGCTTCGCGCATAGGACTAGCAGCCGCTGGTCTCGCCCTCGGTCCTGGAGCTGCCTTCGCTGCTGCTGCTGCTTGAGCAGGTAGTGCCACCGCTGTTCCACCAAGCCGTAACCACTTGAACTCGGCCTGCCTTTGTAAACGCGCCGTAGTACGAGCCCTAGGACGTCCAACGCGTCGAACTGGTGCTTGATCGTCTTCGCACGCCTGACGTCCCTCGGTAGGTGTCCAGCCGGCTGTGTCGCGAACATCCTTCAAGTCCGTTTGTGACCACATTGGAAACACCATATTGTCGAACGACTCCTTGTCCCACTGCAACTCCTCTGGCCTCCTCTTCACCGTCCTCGCCTTCACGATGCCCAGCGCCGTGCCCACGATGTGCTCGTCGGTATCCGTAGACCTCCCAAGCCACGCTCCAGCCTGCCAGGCTGAAGTAAGCCGATTGTCTGGAACTCCAGACTTCTTCGCTAGGACATTCCCGGCAAAGTTCAGAAGGGGGGGCCTGTGCTTCACCATCTTCAGATCCTCGTAGGCCGTCCTGCCGTTACGCTTGTACTGGAACCTGTTCTGAACGAAAGTGACCTGCCTCACGATCCAGCTCAAGATGGCGGAGTCGCCCGTGACCTCTACATGATACTTCTTTTGAGCTGCATTTGCTTGCGTCCTCGCCAGGCCCTCGATGACCTTCACTGATGCCTCCGCTAAACCGTTGCTCGCATGTGAACCTGGCTCTGATTGCCGAAATGAAACCAGCGTGAGGGTATCCTTGGACTGCTTGCAGCGCCCCTTGACTAACGCCTTCCCAAGAGCAAAGATGGACGGCTCGCCGTCGCTTTGAATCGTGACCCTCGTGTAACCCAACTCGTCCAGGTAGCTGCTGAGAAATGCCACCGCGTATGGAGTCGGCCCCTTCGCTGGTGCCAGAGCTGCTCCTGTGTAGGATGAGACGCTGTCTTGAATGACCAAGATCGTAGCCGTCTCTGCGTCGCCATCCTCCAAGGCCAAGAAGCAGTAGTCCATGCTTGGAACTGGATTGGGTGATGAAGCTTCTCCTTGTCGCCGTCGATGTGTTTCCTCCTCTCCTCGTCCAATGACGCAGCTGTTGCGCCACGGCGCGTAGGGAATATGGGTGAGGTAGTGCTTCTCCTTCTCCTCTTTACTTGGCAACTCTGGGGCTCGCATTGCAACTGCCTCCGCCGCTTCCACTGGAACTTGAACTTCTTCTCCACTCTCAATGATATCTCCCGTAGGATGTCCCGACGGGTTTGGCATGGTCGCCAGGTGGCTCTCGATGGTCCCGACCGACTTCAACAGCTTGACCGAACCTGAACGATCTAGCCCTGTGAGGTAGTAGCCGCGTCCAGCTCTTGGCAACTGAACTGTCAATCCATCCTTGGACATGTAGCCCTGGTCGCCCAACTGGAACATATAACATCGGTCCGTAAGCTCACCAACTGACTTCAACGGCATCCGAACATCTGCGACCACGAGCTGCACCGCCACTTTCAGCAGCCTTCCGCACGCTGTCGTTACGATGAACGGTACTCGCCGCTGCCCATAAACTCTGGTCCGCTTACCAGTAGCTGAGAACAACTCTGGCTCCGTGAACATGCCGGTCATCTCTACGTGCTTCGCGTATTCCTTAGGCGCCACATGTGTGCGCGCTCCACTATCGAACAATGGATCGTCTTCGAAACCACCGATTGACATGATCGCTGTCTGGCTGATCATGAAATATCAAATTTGAATCAGCTATCCCAGGGACAACGCCAATCTCTCCCGACTGAGGCAGCGCTGGCGTCTGGGAATTGCTTGAACCTCCACCCTGCTGTCCACCTGCACTCGCAACTTCGTTGTGTGTAGAACTCGGGGCTTGTCTGCAATTGCGTGCGCAGTGACCTCGCTGGCCACAGCGGTGACACGCAACATCTGCCTGTCCGTGTCCTTCGCCCGTCTGAGGCGTGCCCTTCCATTGTTCATACTTTTGTTGTTCTTGCCCTTCGAGTCGTTCTTACCTTTGCCCTTGCTGCCCTTACCTTTGCTCTTGTTATCCTCGCCCTTGCCCTTGTGGGCGTTGCCCATGTCCATTGGTGCCGGTCCTGAGCTCGCTGCGGCCGAACTCATCTGCAAATGCATGTGCTTAGACGTCGTTTCCGTCAGCGACTCGGCCGAAACGAATGGGCCTTGATGCTTTCTGGTGCGTTCTGCTTCAAGACTGCCTGCTTGAGCGTGTCCTTAGTCGGTCCGCCGTCGAACTTCGTGGTGAGAATGCCCATCAACTGCGCCACCGGAGCTGCTCCCGTCGTAGGCTCCTCTAAGCGAACCAGCTGTCGCCAAGCTTCAAGACCGTGATACCCAGGGACATTCATTACGAACTGAAGAGAACTACCCTGCAGCAGCTGGGATATTATGAGCGTCGACGTCCTGCTATGTCCACGCCGAACTTCATTTAGCTCGTTGACTGGAATCGGGTTGATCTGACGCTCGGCCTGCTCCAAACTCTCCGAAAAGACCTCCATCCAAAGCGCCCGCGTACGCCTTGAAAAAAAACACGTACTTCCATTGAAGCCAACCTGCCCGAATTTCTGAATGCGCCTTCGGCCTTCCCCAGCAATTCGGTGTCCACGAGCGGCAAGGGGCCTCCTTGATCATCCATGCTTTCTTGAAATTATCCACAAACTCGCACTCAAGCTCTCCTTGAAATCGAACTTCGCCCAAATGCTGCGGCTCGCCAGGAACCCGTGGATGACGCCGCGGACTCCGCTGCCATGGGCGAGTGAGGCCCCCGGGCCCCTGGTGAGGAATCCTTTTTTTTCTCCCCATCTCAACGTGGCACTTGGGCCAAAATGGCCTTGGGCCACTTCGGCTCCATATCTCTGCTAGCTCGCAAAGGGCCCCACTAGCCCCCCGAACGGGGGCCTTCTAGGCGGGCAACTTTAAACTGCCAAGTATCCCACCGCACCTTGAGCGCGGCACGCGTTCACACCTCTCTGGAGCCTTGAGCGGGACCCCGAGAGACCTCATTCGGGCATGCATACACGCGTAATCGTAATATTCATGCTGTGAAGAAGAATAACACGAACTATACTAATACGACTAAGCAAACGAAGACGACGAATACTACGAATGCTAAGAAGAAACATACTAGCAGTAACAACACTATTAAGAACAATACTAAGACTACCCATAAGACGAATAACACTACCACTAACACTACTAATCATACTACTATGACGAATAGCAATACTACGAAACACAATTCTACGACTAAGAATATTTGTACGAAACATACTAATCCGAACCATTACCCCAATGGTAATCATAAAACGAATAATTGTGATACTTAGAATGCGACGAAGAAACATACGACGAATGACGCAACTGATACTAATAATAATGCCACTGCTAATCGTAATAACTATTACTGATGATAATATGAAGAAGAATAAGGAGGAGGAGGAGGCAACATGTCGTACTTGTGCTGGGAGCCCTGAGTATCCTCCTCCTCCTCCTCCTCCTTCCGCTTCTCCTGCTCCTCCTCCTGCTCCTCCTGCTCCTCCTCCCCCTGCTCCTTTCCTCCTCCTCCGCCTCTTCCCTCTCGGCCTCCTTCCGCCTCCATCGTAGACCCGAGAAGGCGGAGTTTTTTGTCACTGAGTTTGGGATGCGGGTTACTCGGCATCCTCGCTCTGCCCGATGGTGCAGGGGCCAGGGTGTTCACCCCCGCTCCTCGGCCCGATCGCCCCCCCCCTCTCCCCCTTCCTCCCCTCTCTGCCCCCCTTTGGAGGGCGGCAGCTGGCGAGCCGCGCTGCTGTCGCCTTCGGCCTGAGGCAGACCTGCGTTCCGCGGCGTGACCTA